CCTCAACACCTCGGCTGCGCCTAGAAATTCTGTCCATGAAAGTAATGAACAGAATCGGTGACAAAGGGCAGCACCGGAAACGAACCCGACTTACTGCCGGCAATGCGAACCAGACTCTGACACCGGTCGTACAAGGACCTGACAGCCCGTATCAAGTGGCCCGGTACCCCATACTCCCGGAGAACCCCCCACATAAAACATAAAACTGAAGCCCGTTCGAGGCTCTCTGACATCTACACGTCGAGTCTGAAGGTCCGAGCAGACCGGAAGAAGAAACCCGGAAGTGCTGTTGAGCAGGCTTCTTTTGAGTTACTAGCTGCCCTGTTGTCCCCTGAAGTTCACAGCAAAATGCCTGAGATTCTGACACCGAGGTAAGTTTTTCAGTTGCACGTTAAATAATTTCGGGGTCCCTCTGATTGTTCCGGTGAAGTCGGACCACCGAAGCTGGGTGTCAAACAAACAGCCCGCTGTCAGCCTGGTCTGCGCACAATGTGGACGATAGTCGCTGGTTTAGTTATTTTCTGAGGTGGTCTGAGCTCTAGTCCAATGTTTAAATCCCCGAGCCGACTCAGCTCGGTCTCATCCACAGGGAAAGTGAGTAAGAAGTCCTGAAGCCGGTGTTGTACGAAATTCAGTTCCCCTGTGAAAATCTGTCCCCCCCCCCCTTTCTAAACTTCTTGTTATTGAAGGTAAAACTGTATTTAAGCATTGAAAATAGCACGAGGCTTCGTCTCCTTGATGATGTCATTCTAACAGGTGTTGCTAATGAGCCAACTACAACACCTTTAGCTCTTTATCTGTAAAATTAACTGATTTTTTAAAATATAAATTGACTTGTCCATCTTGAAATGAGTTAGCTCTTAAAGTTGTAGATGATTCAGTGATTTGTTCATTAAAATCTGTCCAGTGGTTCAGGAGATATTTTGCTAAAACAGTCTAACTTAACTACAGTAATAGGTAAGTTACAATTAAAATCACAAACTTAAGAGTTAAAACTAACTTTGTTCAGAGTAGAGAATATTCAGCATTAAAGTTGGGGGGAATAAAAAAATCTACTTTTTGTTAACAATGTGACAAAGATGGGGTAGTGTTAAATGTAAATAATAGAATTCAATGATTCAAATCTTATAAATCAATGTTTTATTCACAGTGTAACACAGTAACAATATAAAAAAATGAACCTTTATAAAATAATAAAGTAATTCTGGATTTTATGGCAACACGTATCAAAAAGGTGAGCCATGATTGTGAACGTGGTGTGAAAAGGAAACAGCTGGAGGAACATTTTGCAGCTAATTAGCTTCGTTTGTATCAGATCAAAAGGAGGAGTGGGTATAAGGAGAACATTTAAAGAGGTTAATCTTACTGGAACAAAGTCAGAATTGTAAGAGCTTTCGTAAAACTGGGAAGACTTGAACATCCTGTCTTCTACAGTTCATGACATCAAACGTTTTCAAATCTCTGAGCTGAAAGTTAACACTGGACGTCTGTGATCTCTGCTGAATGTAGAGCAGCTCTGATTCTGTGCTGGACAGGACCGCACGGCTCAGGAGCACTTCATCTCACCACGCCATCTGCAATCATGTAAAAAGAAGCCATATGACGAGGTGTCAGCAGCAAAATACTTCATTACTTCAGTAGAAATGTTGTTTAACTTTACTGAAGTAATTATTTTTCAGCGAACTCCTTATGTTTTAAAGAAATATCCTGTTACTCCTTTTTCAATCCAGCTCCAACTCTATTCCATTCTGACATCCTATTGGTTTGTTGATCCACCACCTGTACGACACAAACCAGGTCACTCCAGCATGTCAGATGTGGAGTTTAGTATGAAGATGACCCGTGGCAGAGATATAAGCAGCTGAAACTAGTGCATCCTAAAGTGTTCAACTTGAACTTTATAATTATACATTATCGTCATTTATGGTCTTTGGACAAATGTTTTATAGGGAGGGGGTATTGTGCATTATTTTTGGCGCAGCCTAAGCTTTTGTCCAGTGGTGGGCACAGTTCCCCTAAAGCACTAACAGGGGAACTAATTTCCTGATTAGTGCTTTAGGGCTTTTGCTATTTTTCAAATTYATTAGTGGATTAGCACTTGCTAAATTTATGGGCTAAATTTTGAAGCACTAACTGAGGTCTTTAAATGTTATTGATCATCATTATAGAAGAAGATGAAAGCTGTCACATTTTGTTCATATGTGTCACTTATCTACAAGGTCAGGTGACAAAATTAAGGCCCGCGGGCCAAATGTGGCCTGCGAGTGGCTCCCATTTGGCCCATCCAGGGCACTAAATGACAACATTCTGCACACAGTAAATATTGTTTGACTGAAGAATGTTCCATGTGTCAACTGGATTATTTTAGTGCTTTAGAATGAGCTTTTGCTAAAATTTTCAGTGCATTAGTGCTTTAGAATTAGGGGACCTAAGTATTTGAGTTAGTGCTTTAGGGTTAGTGCATCTAATATTAAGATTAGTGCTGCTTTTGCCCTTTATGTTTTTTGTTTTTTCTTCTGTTTTTCTTCATTCCCCAATACATTAAAAACAAACAATCTTAAGTTTACTTTTATTGTTCTACTACATTGTTTGTCATCCTTTTGTTATTGTTTTGTTCATTTTGCTATTATTATTATTTTTTGTTAAAATTGAGACCTGTGTAACATTTGTTCATGCCATTTTATCATGAAAATGGAGGAAGAAAAAGCAAAATTTGTCTTAAAGAATCGGTCCAAAATAACATCAGCAGATATCAGAGATTGGTTAGATTGATATCAAATTCATCTGCATCGGCCTTAAAAAATACCTGTAGATCAGTCTCTAATTACTTTTACCTTTTTACTTGAAGTAGTTTTAAAACCAGTACTTTTACTTGAGTAAAACAGAAGTATTTTTAAACCCTAGTATCTAAACTTCTACTTGACAAACAAATACTTTTTTCACCTCTAACCTTTATATGAACACACCACATATACGCTGAGTTCTCCATATTAAAGAGGAGAGGGACCATCCTGCCTGTGCTCAATATTATTATTATTATATTATTATCATATTATTATATATTATATTATTATTAGGCAGCACGACGGCTCAGTGGTTAGCACTGACGCCCCACAGCAAGAAGGTCCTGGGTTCGATCGCCAGCTCGGACCTGGGGTCTGTCTGTGTGGAGTTTGCATGTTCTCCTTGTGCTTGTGTGGGTTTTCTCCAGGTACTCCGGTTTCCCCCACCCCACAAAAACGTACAATAGGTTTTCTTCAGGCCCAGGCCGCCCTTGAAAAAGAGATCTGAGATCTAAATGGGACTTGCCTGGTTAAATAACGGTAAATAAATAAAATAAAATAAATTATCAGTGCACATTTCCAAATGCAGTCTCTGATGGTATGGGGGTGCATTAGTGCATATGACACAAGCAGCTTACACACAAAGCAGAAAAGTTTTGGAGGTTTTCGAGCAACCTGTTCTTCCCTCCAGCATAGAGTCAGGCCTATTGAACAGTGCTACGCCCATTTCACCTCACCTCATCTCRCCACTGGTTGACCTTTGACCTCCTGAGGTCAAAGCACTCCTCTCCCAGACTGAACTGTTTCAGCTCTCTCTGAGAGCTATAAAAAAATAAAAGCTTTGCCTCTCCTTTCCTCTGAGAACAAGACATTTTCTCAAGGAATTTTCTGTCTGATAAGATAAAATAAACAAAACTTCAGTTGTTTTTCTCCTTCAAACATGTATAATTCAAATGCTTAAACCCTTTTAATATGTCTGATTTTTTGTCTTTAATTTTCAAGGGCTCTCTAACTTCGCATTTGTGTTTTGGACATGTTTAGAAATTTACGAGTTAATGATAACAGAACATATCAATGCTTATAGTTTTATCATTTAATTTCTTCTGTTTTAATATGCGTTATTCAATCATTTTTAATAGTTTATTAGTCAATGTTCATAGATAATCATTAGTTAATTAGAAAATTAATCTAATGTTCTTAAAGGGATCCACGATTAGTTGTAACATTAAACTTTAT